CCCTTTCACACTTCTTAGTCCGATATCTTTGAAATGTCCTTACCATTTGAACTCCTTAAAGATAATTTTTCTTGACTTTTATCGAGAGTATTCTTAGGTAACTTTTGTTACCTAAGATGTAATTTACTATAGGGGCTTGCCCTTATAGGAAGTTTTTCCCGAACCCAGCATAATATAAACCTTATTTAATTCCTTATATTAAATAGGGGAATTTGTCGGCGAATACATTGGTTTTGCAAACCAAACGGATGTCATAACTTTCTTTAGTTTATTTGATCGAGGCTCACCCTCAATTCTTGTGTTCATCCTTCGGGATAGATACAGGATTTGAGGTAAAATGCTTTTTCATCTAAACTATGAAAATTATGGGGTCAGTTTGACTCCATCTTTTTCAAAATTAAATTTTTTTAAAAAATGTCCTTCCGAAGCGGGCAACGAGATTTCAATTCCGATGACCGACAGCTTCTTACGGGCAAACCCCACACCAAAAATAGTGTCGACACACTTGAATCATCTTGAGGAAATGAACTTATTTACATTTCTAAACTTATTTTTTAAGTATTAGCATCCTTACAAGTAGAGTTCTCATTAAATTCTTTTTCTTATAATTTCTCTAAACAACCTTAGTATGACAAATTGGTATGACAAATTGCAATTATTATTATTATTGAAATGAATAGAAAATCAAAACTCTTAGACTTGACTACTAGATATTCTTACATTTTAGTTTTAACCTGAGTTATTGAAAATTTTTCTAAATTATCACTATTGCACTTATAAGACAAAAACTATAGAAATCTTTAAGCAAAACTCACTACCATAAGTTATTTTAGATATAAAAGGAGTTACTTGGGAACAAGTAACATTTAAGTTTGGGGTAATTGATCCACCAAAAAATAACATGTTTTTAGTGTACATTTTATGCTCATTTTATGCTTATTTTTTATGATATTATACTTTAAATGAAGGTATTTTGCATGCTTTTAGTTTTACATATATCGAATGGACATTTTGAGAAAATGAGGACAAAATGGAGCAAAAATGAGAGATTTTGTATGGCTCCATAGCGCCAGGTATTAAGCGGGATGGGCACTATAGCACCCCAAACTGGCGCTATAGCACCAGTAACCAAATATATAGAATATCCATTGAATTTTACTAAATTTTGAAAGGGTGCTTGAAGTGACCCTTGGTTATTTTTAGTTATCTATTAATAGGGTCCAATTTTGGATGAAAAAAGAATTTTTTTGGAGTGTTGGATAGGACTTTTAGAAGGCTTGGAGAAGCCTTCTTGAAGGTTCAAGTGTGTGTGTGTGTGTGTGTGAGAGAGAGAGAGAGAGAGAGAGAGAGAGAGAGAAAGAGAGAGAGAGTTTTTATTTTGTGTAAGAGTTTGGGAAACTTCAGGAAGGAAACTTCAGGATTTGCTTGGGGAGAAGACATAAGATAAGTATTTTTTATTTATATTTAAGTTTTTGTTGTAAGACTTGGCTTTCAATACAAATTATGTGTTTTTGTTTTATCTTTATTAATTATGAGCCCTTTCTTACTTCTTGCATATGGGAATTAATCTTGTGGGATGAGAATGATTTAAAGATCTTTTTTTTATTTTTAAAACATTGTGATGATATTTTCACCGGTTTTTCATTGACTTTGCAAACTGACCATTTGTATTGTTAAAATTCATTGAGAAACATAATGACCTAGGAGGGTTATGATTTCACCAACTAGTGGGTATCACATTTTATTTTGGGCAGAGCCGTTGTGATCACCCGAGGGGAGTGCAAATAGATAGGGAGATAAGTTTTTATGGGCATAAAATTGATGTTTCCAGGGTGACATACTAGATTCTTTTATCAATTCGGTCTAGAGTTTGGATCATAAGGGTCCCTAGTAGGTCCTATAGAGAGCGCACAGTGGATAATATGGAAGTGAGAGGCCAGAATCTACTCAGCACTACTACACAAGTTGGGGAAAAACTCTAGGTTAGCCAACATTTTTTGCTAGCACCGAAAGGGTGCAAAGAATAGGAATGCTCCTATTTGGTACAATACATCTTTTTATCTTATTCATCAGTTAAATTCTACAGTGATTAACATCTCTTTGCAAGGAGAAAGATATTTTCATAATATTTCAAATTCTCTTTTAAACTTTGTTAATCTCTTAAACTTTATTAGTCTTTTAATCTTTGTTTTATTTTCTGCCTAAATTTAGTGTTAAACTCCTACCACCATTTCAATATTGTTTTCTTAGTATATTATCTGCAATTTAGATAGAAGTTTTGCAGCCAATAATAAGAATTTTTGCTTTCCTCGTGGGATCGATACTGTGGGTTTTATGAAAAATCCTATATTACTTGAAATGATATGTATCATTACT